CATCATCATCATCATCAGCATCATCATCATTGGCATCATCAGCATCATCATCAGCAGCAGCATCAGCATCATCATCAGCATCACCATCACCATCATCATCATCATCATCATCATCATCAGCATCATCAGCATCATCATCATCATCATCATCATCATCATCACCATCATCATCATCAGCATCAGCATCATCAGCATCATCATCATCAGCATCAGCATCAGCATCAGCATCATCATCATCATCGGCATCATCATCAGCAGCAGCATCATCAACAGCATCAGCATCATGATCAGCAGCAACATCATCAGCATCAGCATCATCATCATCAGCAACATCACCATCACCATCACCATCAACAGCAGCATCATCATAATCATCAGCAGCATAAGCAGCATCATCATCATCAGCATCATCATCCTCATTATCAGCAGCAGCATCGTCATCATCATCATCAGCATCATCATCAGCATCATCGCAATCAGCATCATCAGCATCATCATCATCATTATGATCAGCAGCAGCATCATCATCGTCAGAATCCTCATCATCAGCATCATCAGCATCATCAGCATCATCATCATCATCATCATCAACATCATGATCATAACCACCACCATCATCATTATCATCAGCATCATCAGCATCATCAGCTCATCGGCATCATCAGCATCATCAGCAGCAGCACCATCGTCATCAGCATCAGCATCATCATCATCATCAACCTCATCATCATCTGCAGCATCAGTATCATCGTCATCAACAACAGCAGCAGCATCATCAACCTCAGCATCATCATCAGCCGCATCAGCATCATCATCATGAGCATCAGCATCATCAGCATCATCATCGTCAGCATCAGCTCCTCCTCAGTTTCGTACATGCCATCTCCTCTTCCGCCTCCTCCTCCTCCTCCTCCACCTCCTCCTCCTCCTCCGCCTCCTCCTCCTCCCCCCCACCTCCTTCTCCTACTCCCACTCCTCCTCCTCCTCCTCATCCTCCTCCTCCCCCCCATCCTCCTCCGCCTCTTCCTCCTCCTCCTCCTCCTCATCCTCCTCCGCCTCCTCCCTCTCCTCCTCATCCTGCTCATGTTCCTGCTCCTCCTCCTCCTCCTCCTCCTCATCATCATCATATTCAGCATCATCATCAGCATCATCATCATCATCGTCATCATCCTCATCAGCATCATCATCATCATCATCAGCATCACCATCATCAACATCCTTCGCCTCCTCATCCTCTTCCTGCTCCAGCTCGTCCTCATCCGCCTCCTCCTCATCCTCCTCATCCTCCTCCCCCTCGTCCACCACCTCATCTTCGTCTTAGTAGTCGTCGTGGTATCCTGGTTCGTCGGCTTAGTCTCGTGTGTCCTCATCGTCCTCCTCCTCCTCCTCCGCCTCCTCGTTCTCCTCCTCCTCCTCTTCCGCCTCCTCCTCATATTCCTCCTCCGCCTCCTCCTCCTCCTCCTCCGTCGTCTGTTCCTCCTGCTCCTCCTCCTCATCCTCCTCCTCATCCTCCTCCGCCCCCTCCTCCGTCTCCTCCTCCTCCGCCTCCTCCTCCTCCTCCTCCGTCGTCTGTTCCTCCTGCTCCTCCTCCTCATCCTCCTCCTCATCCTCCTCCGCCCCCTCCTCCGTCTCCTCCTCCTCCGCCTCCTCCTCCTTCGTTTTCCGTCTCTGCCCTCTCCTCATCCTCCTTCTCCTTCCTCCACCTCCTCCTCCTCCTCCTCATCCTCCTCCTCCTCTCCTCCTCCGCCTCCTCACCCCTCCTCTTCTCTCCTTCCTCCTCCTCTCCTCCTACCTCCTCTCCTCCTCCTCCTCCTCCTCCCCTCCTCTCCTCCTCCTCCTCCGTCCTCCTCCTCCTCCGCGCCTCCTCCTCCTCCTCCGCCTCCTCCGCCTCCTCCTCTCCTCCTCCTCCCTTCTCCTCCTCCTCCTCCTCCTCCCTCCTCCTCCTCCTCCTCCTCCTCCTCCTCCTCCTCCTCCTCCTCCTCCTCCTCCTCCTCCTCATCCTCATCCCCTTCCCCTGCTCCTGCTCCTCATCGCCCTCATCCGCATCCTCCTCCTCCTCCTCCTTCCTCTCCTCCTCCTCCTCCTCCTCCTCCTCCTGCCTCCTCCTCCTCCCTCCTCCTCCTCCTCCTCCTCTTCCCCCTCCTCCTCCTCCTCTCCTCCTCCTCCTCCTCCTCCTCCTCCTCCTCCCCTCCTCCCCCTCGCCTCCTCATGATCATCTCATCATCAATCATCATCATCATCAATCATCATCATCATCATCATCATCATCATCATCAATCATCATCATCATCATCATCATCATCATCATCATCATCATCATCATCAGCACAGCAGCAGCATCAGCACAGCAGCAGCATCAGCATCATCATCATCAGCAGCATCATCATCATCATCATATCATCATCATGCATAAGCATCATCATCATCATCATTCATCATCATCATCATCATCATCCTCCTCATCATCATCAATCCTCCTCCTCATCTCATCACATCAGCAAATCATCATCATCATCAGCATCATCATCATCATCATCATCAACAGCATCAGCATCAGCATCAGCAACAGCATCATCATCATCATCGTCATCATCATCAGCATCATCATCATCATCATCATCATCGGCGTCGTCATCATCATCAGCATCAACATCATCATCATCAGCATCATCATCATCAGCATCATCAGCATCATCAGCAGCAGCAGCATCAGCATCATCATCATCATCATCATCATCGTCAGCATCATCATCATCAGCATCATCATCATCAGCAGCATCATCATCATCATCATTATCAGCATCATCATCCTCATCATCATCATCATCAGCAGCAGCAGCATCAGCATCGTCATCAGCAGCATCATCAGCATCAGCATCATCATCATCAGCATCATCATCACCACCACCACCACCATCAGCATCAGCATCACCATTATCATCATCATCAGCATCAGCATCATCATCATCAGCATCATCAGCATCATCATCAGCATCAGCATCATCATCATCGGGGCACGGGGGCTGGGACATCACCTTGCGCGTCGCCCCACAGTTGCATTCTGCGGGCGTTGCGCTTCCTACGCTCTGTGTACGTGGGCGAACCTTGTGGAGGGGGGCTGCAAGTCCGCCCGAGCTCGGACGGTCAATGGTCGACTGACGCGGCTGTGGAAGGGCCGCCATCCGTCAACGGGAAAGCCCCTGCAGGTTCGGACTTGCACGGCGAGAGGGCGTCCTGCGTGGTATTCTCCATCTGCGTGAGTCCTAAGTAGCGCAATTCAGCACAATCCGGCAGTCCTCCGTCTCCTCCTCCTCCTTATTCTCCTCCTCCTTCTGACGACGACGACGACGCAACGACGACGACGACGACGAGGGGCGGCGGCCGCAACGGCGGCGACGAGGGGCGGCGCGAGGGGCGGCGACGAGCGGGCCGCGCGTCCACGGCGGCGGAGCTGGACATGCCCGCGCCTCTGGCGAAGGGGCGGCGGGGGTGGGCAGAGGAGGGCGGCGCCGACCGCCGCACGGGCTCGGCAGGGGAGGGAGGGGAGGCTGCGGGGGGAAGGAGGGAGAGGCACGGGCGAGGGAGGGGGGGGGGAAGGGAGGGAGGGGAGGAGGAAGCCAGAAGGGAGGAGGGAGGGGGGGGAGAGGGAGGAGAGGGAGAGGAGGAGGAGGAGGAGGAGGAGGAGGAGGAGGAGGAGGAGGATCCCCTCACCCTCCCTAACTCCGCCCTCGCTTCCCATCGCTGCCCTCCAGACAGCCCGTACAACAACAACAACAACAACAACAACAACAATCATTTTACCCGAACGCTCAGTGTTCTCCCCAGTGCCAGGGTTTTCATGCGACGCCAGCCAATACCCCCACTTCGTGGGGGGGCAATGCAAGCTCTACCAAACATCCACACGACTCTCGGGAACCACCCACACCCAGCTTCCCGCCCTATGACGTCAGGACACTTCACTTCGTGGCGCGCGGACGATCGTGGATACTACACTGGCGTGGAGTACACACCCGCAGAGGTTGATCACTTGTTTGGGCCCCGCATGTGCCCCGCATCGTGCATTCGTTGCGCATGACATAGAGAGAGCAAGACAGAGAGAGAGAGAGAGCAAGACAGAGAGACAGAGAGAGAGAGAGAGAGAGAGCAAGACAGAGAGCCAGAGGAGAGAGAGATAGAAAGAGATTCGTCACATGTGTGAGGCAACCTGAGAAGATGTGGTACACGGTACACGTGAGATGGTACGCACTGCCAAGATAGTTGGTCACATTTTTGGGGCAATTTCCTGGGAAGGCGATTACACAAGTAGATGTGTTACGTATGATAGATATGAAGCAGAGAAAGAGCGAGAGACATAGAGAAGGAGAGAGAGGAGTCGGTCACATCTTTAGGGCAACTTCCTGAGGGATGTGGGAGGACACAAGAGAGAAGGTATCGTTGTCCCGATGGTTGTCTCGATGGTTGCCCCGATGGTTGTCCTGATGGTTATGGTTGTCCCGATCGTTTTCCCGATGCTTGTCCAAATGGTTGTCCCGATGGTTGTCCCGATGGTTGTCCCGATGGCTGTCCGTCTGCGATGCAATGTTGTCTGTTTCTGCTGTTATACAGTCCCAAGGATGACGCATGCATTGCTCATACTTTCTCCTGCTTTCGCAAACAGGTCCAGTCACACTATGAATATACACGAAGCATACTAAGGCGACTCGTCCTCTGCGACGTCGCGAATACGCTTGGGTACACGGCTGCCTGGCTGATGCAGGTGCGGGCCTGGCTGATACCCGTGCGCTCCCAAATGGCCAATGATATTGCCGATACGCCTGCTGGCGGGAGAGCCGGGGCTCGCATACGGCAGTGCTAACGCGAGCACGTTGTGGACCTGCGGCGGCAAGGCCGGGTAATCGAGCATGTTCGGATACTCGTCGCTCTGACCAAAAGACCGCCATACGGGCAACCACCACCACTGGTCTTGACGCGGATACTTCATCTCTGGGCCGACCTCAGGGGATACGTTCCAAATGGCCATTTTCTGCGGGTCCGTACCCATGAAGGCCGCGTGATACGCAATGAATACGTCCAAGGTGGCGAGGGCCCTGTAGGAGAGGCCGGATACGATCTCCGCATGAATGGGAATACCGAGCTGACCGAGCAGATACCGCATACTGCTATACACCCACTGGCCCGGGTGGACGAAGAGGTTGGCTTTCCAGGCGACGATACCTCGCCCGGTGCATAGCGTGTCGAATACGTGCAGAAGGTAGCCAATGGGCTCCCCAAGCCTCTCATCCTGGAATACCGAGAAATTCCCGAATACCGCGTGCGCGTAGAAGAAGGCCTCGAAGTAAAGCCAATCCGGCTCGGGGATGCCCCCCATACTGTGCTGGTAGTCCGGGTCGTTGTTCGTCTTCGACTGCCTCGTGGACATACCGCTCGATACGGCGAGGCATACGCCCTTGACACCCTCCCATAGAATAGGGAAGAAGATACCGCACGCGAACCACCTCTCCGAGCCACACTGCTTGAGCCAGCGCCGCGCATACGCCTCGTCGTTGGGTGGCGCGTGCCAGCGCTCCATACTGTAGCGCACTTCATCATCGCTTGGGTAATACTCGCCCGTCACGGGGTCGAGCCGACCGGCCATCTGGGAAGCCATACGGAAGGCCGGCAATATGGAGGTGAATACGATCTCGCGACATACAGTAAGCGGCTTGAGCAGAAACCGCTACGTACAAACAGAAGCGAACCGCATACATGTGCCCAAATGCCAAAGTCCATACGACCGTACACGCAGAACACTCATGCGAGCGCCGTCGGCAAGACGAAGTCCGCCGCCGCACATGCGACCAGAGCAGGCATACTCACTTCATCTTTTCATTTGAATCCACAGCCCTCATAGACTTCCCCTGGGAACCCCCCAGACGCCCTCATAAACTTCCCCTGGGAATCGGGTCACAGCCACTAAGACAATCGGGCCCTGGGAACCCCCCAGATACCCAGAGAGGTCTGGCGGCTGGGGCCGAAGGCCTAAAGAGAATACATAACCACAGGGCCCTGGGAGGCCCTCCCAAGATCGCCAGATGGGTCTGGCGATTCCGTGGGAAAGCCCTCGGAGCACATATTACACGTGAGCCGCGTTGCACATGATACATATTGCACATGATACGTCTGCTAGCCATGGGACACATACACACCAGAGTTGGTCACATTTCTGGGGAACGTTTTGACACACATCCCCGTGTCATGTATGATACGTATAGCAACTGAAACGTATGATAGACATGAGAGCAAAAGAGGCTCACGCAGGCTGAGGCCGAGGCTGAGGGTGAAGCTGAAGCTGGAGCAGGCTGAGGCTGGGACACGCTGAGCTGATGCAGGCTGAGGCTGAGACAGGCTGAGGCCGACGCTGAGGCAGGCTGGTGCTGAGGCTGAGGACGATACGTCACCGTCGCCGTCGCCGTCGCCGTCGCCGTCGCCGCCGTCACCCTCGCCGTCGCCGCCGCCGCCTCCGTCGCCGTTGCCATACCCATGATTCTCGATGCACGTGTATGTCATTACTGGTGGCTCTTCTTTCATACAGCTCTGCTTGACCCCAAAGTCTGCCACAATGCCCTATACAACTGAGCACCGCCCCTAGAGCTCAGCCACCAGCGCTTCCAACGTGGCTTTGGATACACGTCTGGTGATCCACCTTCCCTGCACTTTAATTCTTTGATACTCGCTGGCGCCGCGAGCGTGCGCTGCGGATACCAGCTCCTGGTACGTCCGTTTGCACGCACCGGTGCCTGAAGGCTGCAGCATACCTCGCTTCACGAGCAGAGCGAGCTTCTTCACCGTATGCGACTTCCCGTACTTGATACCCAGACCTTTGGCAGCCTTGACCAAGCCGCGGTACTGCTGCGAAGGCTGCCTCGCATACGTCTGCACCTTCTGTGTCAATACGCTGAGACAACTCGCAAGCACACGGAGCTCTGGAATACCGTCAGATTCTACCTTGGGACACAGACGGCGGCGACCGAGCTGATACGCCACCTCGCAAGGTCCGCCGTCTGATACGCCACCTCCCAAGGTCCGCAGCACAGCAAGCGATACTCCCACACAGCTGCGGATCGCCTCCAAAAGCTGAATAGCATGACAACGCGTCGATACTAGCCCAGGCCGGACACGCGAAACGTTTGCCCGCACAGACTTGCTCGTGTCATACGCGTCAATGAGATACCAAACACCATGCAACGAATACCTGTTGATAGCCTGCCGCGTCTCGCAGAACAATACATACATGGTCGCGACGCTCACTTGAGACGTGCTGTTGAGAGCCTTCCTCATACGACCCAATGCTGTGGTCATTGTGTCGCAGGAAACCACGCCAAAATACGCGAGCTCCGCAGCAGCATGGCGTGCCCACTTCCGACACTGCCGCTTCAGAAACCACTGATGCAGCTCCTCGGTATACTCCGTAGGCGTGAAGCCCATGCAATACTCAACCATGTGCATAAAACACCTCATACAGTCCATGCTGTTATACTTACCGGCCATCTTCACCTTGTTCTTCTGCACGGCCACGGCCACGTAGTCCGGGATACTGTCCCCCATGGCCATGATGTCCGCGCTGGGGATACCGTCGCCACGGGGACGCTGAAGCCCCGATGCTAAGTGCGCCCACTTCTCCGCAAATGCGACAAGACGCCGTCGTATACGAACCCGGCGAAGTGTACGGATAAAGTGCAAGCCGGAATACTGAGTATGCAAGCCTTCTCGATGGGCTAAATACGAGCACCCTTTTTCTTTGCATACTGCGTCGCAGTGACGGACGAGTCCTAAACAGAAAGCATCGAAGTCGTGCACGAATACGCTCCACTGATCCAAAATGTAGTCGCATACGACAGGTACTCCTGCCTGCCCTCTGGTAAAACGCAGTAATACGAAAGACAGCAAGAAGAGATACCCCGCAGACTCCATGCCAAGGCTATACGTGGCCAAGAATACCCCCCTCTTGAGCCAAAGTGCCTATGAGGGAGGTGATGAGGATGGTGGTGGTGATGATGGTGAGGATGGTGGTAATGATGATGGTTTCGGGGAGAGCCCTCGGCGAGGCGCAGACTGCCTGTGAGGGCCCGAAGACGGCCAGTAACGGCCTGTGAAGTCCGCCGCCGCACATGCGACAAAGCCAGGCATACTGATATCACAGTTTTTGTTACCCCGAGAACTCATTGATATCCTATTTGTTTTTCTCTGGAAACCAACAATCTAGATGGTAGGTGTCATACACAGTGCCCATGATACGTATGCAGACCCGTGTAACACATGTCGCAGAGGCGTATACCAGACAAACAAAAGTTGCTCACATGTTTTGGGCAATGGCTCACATACTATGGTTACACACATGCATATTGCAAATGGTATGTATGTTGACCATGACACAGAGAAGTTGGTCACATTTTTGGGGCAAATTGTGCTTCACATGCGGTAGATATGC